TCTTATTGTGTGTGTGTGTGTGTGTGTGTGTGTGCGAGAGAGAGAGAGAGAGAGAGAGAGAGAGAGAGAGAGAGAGAGAGAGAATCAGTCTTTTCTCTGCCTTTTTGTTCTGTTCAGGACTCTCAATAAATTGGATAACACCTGTTTATATTTATGAGGGTAGATCTTCTCATCTAGTGATTTAAATGCTATCTCTTTCAGAAACATCCTCACAGACCCACCCAGAAATAATATTTTACCAGTTGCTTGTGCATCCCTTTACCCAGTCCAGTTGAGAAGTGAAGTTAATAATCACTGGATTCTTACTTTTCTCTGCAACCACCTCTGAATATCTCCATCTTGATATTCCAAATATCTGAGACACTCGCTTATTTTGAAAGTCTCTCAAAGTCACCACATTGGTAATATTCAGTTATTCAAGCTAGGAACCTGGAGTTACCCTGATTTCCTTCTCTCACATCACACATCTACTCATGTTCCACTAAATAGTTTTGAAATTCTTCCCATCATTTTATGCAACTGTGTTAGGTTCAATCTCTCTCTTGCCTAGACCTTATTGACTTAAATTTCTAGAATTTCAAGAAGCAGAAAATGTGTGTGCTAAGGTAAGTAGCCTATGAAATACAGGTTGCATATCAGACAAGTGTCTGACAGGCCAAGGCCAAGGGCAGCGCCAGGAACCCTAGAGGCTTATGTTATTTGGAGACAAGTAACTGTTGTAACAAGAAACAGTGTACACTAACAGCTCAAGAAAGATGGAAGTTTATTTTTCCCTTAAAGAAAGTACAGGAGGAATATTCCTTATTGTCAGGAGACTCTGTTACAAGTAAAGATTCAGAATTCAATACTTTTATACTTTTATGAGTGACTCTCCAATAGTCTGTATGTGGCATCCAACACAGACGGTCTCATTGAACCAAGGATGAAATGGGAAAGGGTGGAGGTCTGTGTGTGGGAGATGTTGACGGGCAGACCTGGACGCAGTACCTACAATGTCCTCTCACATTTCATTGGTTAGAAATCAGTCACAGGGCCATCTACAGCAGCAAGAGAAGCTGGGAAATGTCTTCCTGCTGTGAGCAAAGGGGCAAAAAAAAGTGAATAGGTCTGGCAGTCAGCTCCTAGTCTCAGCCACATGCTGTCTTTCTGTCACTAAATCTGGGCCACTCTTTTCCTTCCATAACTAGAACATGCTCTTCCCTGCTCCAGGACAGAACATTCAAAGCCCCATTCAATCAGTTCATTTAGCTCAGTTTCTCAGTTTCCTGACTGATATGGAATTCTTACCATTAGAACCTGAAACACAGTTATGGCACTGGGACAGAAAACACAAAATGCACTTACTTTAAAGAAAGAGAGAAGAGAGAGAGAGAGAGAGAAGAAGAAGAAGGAGGAGGAGGAGGAGGAGGAGGAGGAGGAGGAGGAGGAGGAGGAGGAGGAGGAGGAGGAGGAGGAGGAGGAGGAGGAGGAGAAAGATACTTAGACGTGACACTGTGACAGTGATGAGTAACTCTGGCCAGAGTTTGCAGAGTTTGTAGAGTCCCCTTCCGTGGTTGGGAGACTCCTTGATCAGACGCTGATTCTACCTTATTGGATGCTTTAAATAATCCTTTTCTGGTATCTGTTGTCAAACTCCTTTTTCTGTTTCTGTTTTAGTTTTTTCTTGGTACATCTTCTATGCTTCTAGTTTGAGTGAACATTGGGGTCTTTCCTACCTTGGTCAATAGTTTGGGAGGTGCTGAGAGCTGCTTTAAGACTGAACAGTGAGAAACATTTTTTGGTTTTGGACAAGGGTTCTTTCCAATATAATATACTTTTCCAGAACCCAGTATCACTCTCCATCTATAGTTTCCTGAAGTTCTCTCGCTAGTAGACATCGGCAGAATTCTTTCCTAGGCATGGTTCTCAAACCTGATGAAGTTCTTTGGTTTCTTAGCACCTCTGAAATTTTTTTCCTTCTAAATTTACTAGGGATCACATTGAGGCCATTTGAGGTAGTAGGTGGTGTTAGGGGACAGACAGATGAAGTGGTGGGAACAACCAGGTTTAAAGAATAATTTTAACCTGGGAGCTGTAGCGCATGCCTGTAATCCCGGTGGCTCCAGAGGCTGAGACAGGAGGATTGTGAGTTCAATGCCAGCCTCAGCAAAAGCAAGGTGCTAAGCAATTCAGTGATACTCTGTCTCTAAATAAAATACAAAAAGGGCTGGGGATGTGGCTCAGTGGTTGAGTGCCCCTGCGTTCAATCCCTGGTACCCCACCCCACCAAAGAAGAGAATAATTCTATAAAATGGGCTCACCGTGCTGACCCCACATGCTTTCTTTGACTAAAAGTAATTTACCTGAAGCCCTGCCTGGCCTAAGGGAACAAGGTATGTTACATTCCTCAGCAAACAATCTGTAATCTGCAAGGAAATGCCAGGCAGGAAATAAAGTTAATACGAGGAAGCCATTTGGAGGGAGAGAAACTTGTGACCCTTTTCATAGAGCAGATCCCAGAAGATAAGGATAAATCCTCCTCACCATAAAATCTGTAAAAATGATTAAGAATCAAATTAGAACCAGTGGCATGGGCCAAGGTGACAAGAGTTGTCATGGCAATGAGGACTTGAAAGTCTGAGGTCACCCTGCTGTTAGTCAAAAGTCAAGAGTTGGGCCTGCACAGGACTCTCTGGAAACTTCCCCTGGGATCCCCAATAAAATTGAGTTCAGGAGAGGACCCACTCTCTCCCCCAGAGTGTTGACTTTTCCTTTTCCCATCCCTTAATAAAACAATTCCTGTTACTCTGAGTGTTGTGTCTGAAATCTTTCTGACTTAATCCCAAGAATCAGTGTTTGAAGAGGGGGTCTTTGCTCGGTCTCAGTTTCCCAGAAGTTCCCACCTCTGTAACAGTGGGAACATCCTTCAGTCTAATTTTTTGTTACGAGGCTATCACTTGGTTCATTGAGAAGGCTTGGGGAGTTTTGAGTCTTAGGTTTTGTGATTTGGACTACAGATGCAGTTGGCTTTTCTAGACTTAAGATCTCCAGACACTTTTCCTTCTATATAATCTTTGCTTAAAAATTGTAGCATTTGACTTAAACTTGTGAATAGATATATTCTTTTTCTTATAATTCCTTGTTAAAAGTAACGAGGAGAAGCTAACAAACACATCCTCCATTCGGGCTTGGGCTCAGCAATCATTCAAACCCCTATAGATGCCTGTTTCCCTGGTAGGGTTGCCTTTGTGGACAGTGGTCTTCAGTTTTCTGGCCTGTGCTATGCTAAGAGCTGGGACACTGTGTCCTTGCACCCCATCCCAGCCCTCAGATGGTGAATCTTCTAGAAGGGCTTGATTTTATACATCTCCATATCTCCTTCTCTGAGCCACTGAGTTCCACAGTGTAAGTCCTGCTTTTCTTTGGATAAATGAATCTCTTAGCTTAAGGAAGTACCAGCTACAGAGCTCAGAGGAGCATTGAAGGGTTTTTCCTTATATACTTCTCTATTCAGTACTTTTTTCCAGCTATAATGTGCAGAAGTTGAATGAGTCACCATCTAGCTGAAGCATTCTCCATTTCTGATGATTCATGCTTCTTCTCCCTGACCCCTTTGACCTTCAGTCAACTTCCTCCCAGAAGAGGAAACAAAAGTGCACAACTCCAAGGAAGTAATGCATATGCCCCCTGCCCACCACCATCCCATTTTCTTCCTTTCTTTGTTCGTTCATTTGAAAGTCTGCATTGCTTTCTCTGGCCAAAGTCTGCAAACAAGAATAAAAAAATACTCCATGTCATCAGTTAGCTGTCATGAAAGTTATGAATATAGCCTTATTACCAAATTAGTATGTGCAAGCATTTTATGTGCTCAAACAGTGATATGTATGAAGAGCTTTGAAAGGTTTTCCTAACAGGGATCAAGAAAAGCATCAAATAGAAAGAGAACATTTGGGTTGAGCTTTGGATAATAAATGGGATTTAGTAGGAATAAAAGGAAAGAGAGAAGGACACTTCAGGCAAAAAAGACATGAAGTTGGGCAAATAGTTTTTTGTTCTAGGCCCAAAGATCCACCTTGTGGATGGAAAGTTCTGTGCTTTATAGTTGTGGTATCTTGTATTGTTTTGGTAAGAGTGATAATAGATAGTTATGATAAAGATATCATAAATTAGTTTTAGTCCTTTCTGTTTCAGAAAAAAAATATTTGTGACTGCAAAATATCTTTTCTGTTACTTTATTGATCTGTTTATGTCCATTATCTTCTCTCATGTCTTATTTTTTTTTTTTAATTTTCAGTTCAAGAAAATTCTGTAGTTTGTGAAATTCCTATAAGAAGATACCTGTTTTTATGTAGTCCCTTTATGACCTTTGGTTCTATTTCTTTTCATATAAGGGTTATAAGAGCTTCTTGTACAATGATTCTAAGATGAGCATCTGTGGTGTTAATGGAGAGTACGACCGTGTCAAAGCAGCACTTATTAATCCAGCTTTCTGATATTCTTTCACCAAATCTGTGACCATCTTACTACTCACTCTTCCTTCTTTTCTTTCCTAGAAGAAAAGAAGGAAGAGTGAATAGTAAGTTTTCAGAGTTTCTGAAGAAAAACAGTTTCCTCCCGGATGGATCACTGAAGAAGTGGCATGAATGTCAGGTAGATGATTCTAGAATAGGATTGCAATTTTTGAGAAACTGGTGGTGGGTGATTAGAATCCCTGCCACCCAAAGCATTTGTTAAAGGAGGATCAAAGTCGTCAGCCAGATTTGAATATCTGACAGTTTAAAGACTGGCATGGAAAGTATTGTGCTGTGTTGAATAGGCTCTGTTCTTTTGGCCTTTAAAATGTTTGCAAGTTGTTCTCATCTATCTTACCAAGCTGCCTCCTACTTCTAATTAATTCTGAAGTACCATCTCGGGAGTCCATTTCCTTCCCACCTACAAGGAGACTGATAAATACTGGAAGGCATTTGGCCAGCTTGGCTCATGACCATTAGGAGACAAACCTTCCGGAATGTTGTAGTGCTGCATCTGGCAAGAGCCAGATGGAAGTAAACTGATTGAGAGGCTCAAGGGCAAGCACTCAAACTGAATTCTCAGAGGTAAGACAGCAAAGAAACAGAGCTAAATGTCAGGCTTTGGTGTTTGTTTTGTACTTTTAAGCTATGTCATGGTAGAAATTGCTGCAGCATAGGAAAATGGTGGGTAGAAATATTTAAAAAGGAAAAGTTATGTTCAATTTGCTCTGCACCAGGAGTCTCTAGTAGACCTCTGGTATTTCCTGTACTAATCTGCATTTTCTACAATGTATGATTACAACTGGTTTTATGTTCAAAGATTTTGAGGGTTTTTGTTTTGTTTTAATTTTTGGTTTTCCAGTATGAATCTGTTTAGCATTCTTTATTTGTAAAAGGAAAACCCTGGAATTGTCTGTTTCTAAGACGTTGCCCACCTCTAGTGGTCTGTGGTTCCATCAGTTGGTGGATATTTTCTGGATTATTCATGTTTTCTGACAATCTGATGACTGTCTGTGAACACCCACCTCTTCTGCAAATCTCTTTATACTTTGTATACAGTTTCTTGTACTTGAGACCATCCCAATGATACGATAAAGTTAAATTTTTAAATAAGAAACCTACAATTTTAGTGTTCAGCTAACAAAAACTCATCTATCTACTCATTTTCCCTTTTGCAGGAGAAGGAGTTCTATTTGAATAGATTATCAGAATACCTCAGAGCAGGATTTCCTTTTCAGTTGTGGTCTTGGTGAGTTCAGGCACATTCACACATACTTACACATCCACTGCACACTTACACTCCCCCACCCAGAGAAACACGTGGTCTTTCAGGGAAAGAAAGGAATAGCAGTGGTTAAGTTGAAATATATATATACATATACTCCATCTTGTATATACCAAGCACATCCCAAAATGATCCAGTGTTTTCAATGTCTCACATTCATGCTTTGTATGTAGGCTAACTTTGTATTTTCAGTCGTTTCCTACAGTCTGAATTTATAGACCAAATAGAGAAACAGGGTCTGTTCCTTATTGAATGTCTGGTATTTTTAGTAGAGCTGAGCACTTAAAGATACAAAGAAGCAAAAGTTGTCTAATAACAAAAAAGGAGAAGAGAAGGGAAAGATTTAACTTGTTAAAAGTTTAAAGAAGAGGAAAAGAAAATGCCCACAGCTGAGAGAAATGGAGTAAATCAAGGAATCCAGAAATTCAATAGGAAAAGGCTTAAGACTGATTTGCAGGGATGAATGCAGAAAGGTCAACAGCCAAATGGACACAATGAATAATTAAGAAGTATTAAAAATGGGCAATAGCGGCCAGGAGCTGAGGCACAAGCCTGTAATCCCAGTGGCTTGGGAGGCTGAGGCAGGAGGATTGTAAGTTCGAAGACAGCCTCTGCAAAAGTGAAGTGTTAAGCAATTCAGTGAGACTCTGTCTCTAAATAAAATACAAAATAGGGCTGGGGGTGTGGCTCAGTGGTTGAGTGCCCCTGAGTTCAGTGCCTTTGAGTTCAATCCCCAGAAACAAACCAAACCAAACCAAACAAAAAAAATGGCAATAGAAAAAGATAAGATAGAAAAGCCAAGGATGGTTTCAAGATCCATATGTTTAAGTGGAATTGATAAAGTGACAAGAAATGTCAAAATTGTATAAATTTTGACACAATTAGCACCCCCTACATAATTTAAATTGCATTAAGAATTTAGTTTAGATATATTTGTTATAGATTCTGTCAGATTGCATAGAATATTAATTCTGCTGTAGTTTCTAAGTGATAAAGAGAGTAAAAGAAAATACTTAAATTATGATGTGTAGCTAAAAATATGTTTTGGGAAATACTGAATGAAGATTTTGGAGGTCGTTTGTTGATATTTTTTCTGCTCACTCAAGAGAGCCTAAATCCCATTCCTTCTTCATTTCTCCTCATCCATGATTTTTCTCCCAAAAAGACTATTGAGAAAAGAAGCAATAGCCACGTGAGAAGTAATATTCTACTTTATTGACATCTGGACAAGTTCCCAGAGACTACCAGATTATCCAGTGAAGACCATTAGAAATGAGGAATCAAGTTTGTAGTGATCCATTCCACTTCCATCATATCGTTAAGTCCCTGGGTTCAATGCTTGATTGGGCAGATGAACATCCCAGCTGCAGGCTTGGAAGTGGTGCAAAGCGCAGAAGAAGCCTTATCTTGTGTACCCTGTGCAGGTGGCTTCTACCTCTCTGCCTATTTATGGGTACAGAGAGCAAATAAGTTTTTTCATGGCTGCTGACCTTTGAAGGTCAGTGATCCAATACACTAGTAAAGTGGCACTTGATATTCCTGGACCTAAAGAGAGTATAAACGTCTCCTGGGCAACTGGGTATGGTAAGAGGATATTTAGTATTCTTTAACCTGTAGAGAATTAGGGAAAAAATCAATAAAGTGCTCTAAATGAAGAGAGATGGCAGGAACTAAGACCTGAGAATAGCAGTGATAGATCTAGGAAATGATTTCTAGGTCAAATTCCCTAAAGGACCCTGGTTAAAGAGCTGGCAGATGATCATCCTCCCCAAAACACACACTATATGTGTTGCATGATTGTGAAAGAAGCAGAAAGGGCTGTGTCCCTCAAACTATCTTTCCTGATCAGTCAATCTTCAGTGGATCTTGCATTGTACCAAGGCTTTTTTGGGGGGTGGGGGGGTTTACTAGGGATTGAACTCAAGGGCACTTGACCACTAAGCCACATCCTCAGCCCTATTTTCTGTATTTTATTTAGAGTTGTTTAGTGTCTCACTGCTTTTTGCTGAGGCTGGCTATGAACTTAGATCCTCCTGTCTCAGCCTCCTGAGCTGCTGGGATAGTAGTGCGCCACTGCACCTGGCTGTACCAAGACTTTAAATTGCACAATTAAAGCTATGATTCTCCTCACACAGATCAGTGGGTGAAATACATTGGTTTAAACACAGACTAAGGTCTAGATTGGCATTTTCAAAACTTTTAGTTTTAAATGGTTGGGAAAAAATTACTATTAACAAAAAAAATTGAGGGAAATGACCTAAGATTACTTACATTTTATTTGGCCAATTAAGTATATTAAAGCAACAATTTAATGTATAATAGTAATAAAAGCATAGGTATGAGATGGATGTTTTAACTTTATTGTGAATAAAATTAGTCCATGAGTTGATGTTTGTCTGACAGTTTTCCCAAAGCAGTTGGCCATGACATTTTGTATGGCATACTGAATATAAATGCTCATGTTTCTTCAACCTGAAGAATAAAATGGAATGGATGGAAAATTATAAGTAAGTTAAATATCAACCAGAATAAAAACGTTTTAGCCTATGTGGGGACTTTTTCTTACAGCTTCTAGCCAAATACTTCCCAGAGTTTTAGGAAATGAAGTAATGAAATATCAAAGACACTCATAATGCTTAAAAAGTAATGATCCATAAATGGTATCTTAATGCTAGAAGAAAGAAATATGTATGGCTGTGTCTCTTTTCATACATCGTAAATGGGACAGTGATTGGGAATCAGAAACCAATTTGTCACTCTTTTTATATTTCTGCAAAACAATCATTTTAATAAAAAATCAATCTGAAGCACCCAAAGCCAAAATGCTAAGTAGCAGTGAATATAATGGTCAGAAACAATTCCTCTCAAGCAACAGTAATCTTTGTCTCTAAGTAATGTATCTTGAAAATGGGGAGAACAGCATAAATTTATATTTTGATAAGCTATAATTAAATTGTATTAAAATAATTATAAAATATAGTTAAATCAGCATAATGTCACTTCTGTGCACAAGTTCTAAATTGCATTTACAGGTGTATAAATCATTCAAATTAATTCAAAATACAGGCAAAAATAACATCACTATCATTGAACAATATGTAAGGTTTGACATGATTTTTGACATGATAACAAATTTGTTTAAAAATTCAACCAACTGATAGAATAATCAAATATATTATTAAAGGAAATTTAAAAGACAATTTTTTACACTTATAATCATTTTCTATGAAAAAAGGATTTGCATCATAGCATCAATGCAAAGTGCTCTTTTTCTTTATATATCTGCTATTTCAAAGTCAAGTTGGTGAACAATACTGATGATCTGGGGTGTGGAGTTATTGAGATAGTTCTGAATTTACAACCCTGAGAGAAGCATGGATAATACCACAAACTGTAATTTTTTTTAAAATAAATTTTTACTTAGTATTTTATTTGATTATATTTTCCTCCAAAATTCCCATAGACATTTTATTTATCCTTGTATGACTGATCTTGAAACCAATTCATATCTACCTCCCGTGATACTGTTTCCTTGGGTGACATTCTATTTTATGATAATCTAATGCTTCGGATGTGCAAAGACCACTACTATATGTAGTGTTCCCAACCTCCTGCTGCCCTGTGGCTCCATTGTGTTGCTTCAGCTCTGGTCTGGAAGAGGGAGGGGATGAAGGCAGGGCTTGTCCTCCACACTGAAGCCTGGAGCCTGGGCGGCCACCTCCATCCGCATTTTGTTAGTTCTGTTTACCAAGCAGAGGTGCAGAGAATGCAAAGAACATTGTTGTTTTCCATCTTTTGTTTTAGATCATGTTTGTTTCGGAGAGAAAAGAAACAACTATACTTCTAAGTTTCATTGTCAAAGTATAAAACGTCACATAAAATATCACAATTAAAATGTGTGTTAATACCAAAACAAATGCTTAGATGGTTATTAACCATTAGTCTCCTGTGTTTACTTTGAACTTTAACTGAAACATGGATTTCATGCCTGCTTTGTTTTCAGACCTCTAGATATTTTATTTTCTCCATATTATATCTATTTTCTCTCAAATTGAGGTTTCTCTTAAAAACAAAAGAAAAATTGGGAGCCCATTAGCTAGAGGCAACTTCTAAACAAATCAAAACCCATATTTTTGTCCAATCAGAAACCACCAGCCTCTAACCAAGGATTTTGCATTGGCATAATCCAAATAAGGTTCCACTTGAACCAATAAAATCTTCAGGTTGCCTTGCTCTGCATTTGCCCTTTAAAAGTCTCTTCCCTTTTCCCCTTGGATTGGTGGAGCCATGAGCTTCTTAT